TTGATCCCGTATAGGGATTTTGTCAGTCCGCATATTTTCGTGGGGTCGTCGATGAATCCGTGGGGTTGTTCGACGAAGATCTCAGCGTCCACAGGTGCGTATAGGAACGCATTCGCGATATCGATTTGGCGTAGTGGTAGTGTTTTCGTGGCCGCGACGGCGAGTAGGATGCGTAATGAGGTGTGACGGGAGACTGGAGCGAAGGTTTCTGTGTAGTCGGTTCCGTATCGTTGATCGAAGCCTCGTACGACCCATCGAGCTTTGAATCGTTCGATGGAGCCGTCTGAGTTGGTTTTGATGCGGTACACCCATTTCCCCGAGAGAACGTTCTTCCCGTTGATGCTCGTTGCAGGTACCAGTTTCCATGTTTCTCGGTCTTGCAGAGCTTTTAACTCCTTTTCCATCGCTTCCTTCCATTTGCCTTGTGTTCCCCCCCCAGAGCCTGCGACAAGGTTGAAGGCTCACGCGTAGAAGGCGGCGGCGGATGCTGGACGGAGACCCAGAGGCCTAGAATCTGGAGTCCCGTGGGTGTGTGTCGAGGGGAATTGTCATTCCCGGAATAAGCTGCTTCGTCACCGTCTTCGGGGTCAGGTAAGAAATTGGGGCCGATGCGTTCCGAAATATTCGTGTCGACGGGGTGAGGTGTAGCGTAACCTTGGTCGGCGAAGTGGTAAAAGGTGTCGAGGTTGTTGCTATCGAGGGGATTATCTTCATCGAGTGGAACAGGTACGGAACAGAATGGGAGTGGCCCGGCAGCTTCCGAGGCTCCAGGTACGTCTTCTTCGGCTGCGTCAGCTTCGGCAGCACGATCGGCGAAGGAACGAAGTCCTGAGAGGCCGTCGGTGGGGTCTTGTGTGTTGGCAAGGTTGTCCAGGTAATGCTGCAGAGTCAGTCGTTCGTAGAAGATAACGTCTCGTGATGCCACCGTGTTTTTGTCTTGTATGTCGAGAATTTTCCACACGTGAAAATGTTTCGCGATGCCGAGGTGGAGTCCCCACCGAGCTCGTTGTGTGAAGCGTCCTGCTCGGGCTGTGTGGGGTCTGTACTGTACCATGCAGCCAAAGACTCTGAGTAATTTTGTGCTGCCCCTTTTTCTTGTCCACAACAGGTGCGGTGATGCGTTGTTGGGAAGTGATGACGAGGACAGCAGGTTGTGCAGGTGAACAGCATGTGTCATCGCGTCTGGCCACAGTGTGGTTGGCAGTCGCATCCCCTGAAGCAGTTTTCGCATCGTCGTCTGCAAGGTCCGATTCATGCGTTCTGCTACCCCCTGCTGTTGGTGAGCATAGGGCAGGGACACCAGGCGTCTGATTCCCCTTTCCGCCAGATAGGTCCTGAAGCGTTGTGACTGGTATTCCAGTGCACCGTCTGACTGGAAGCTCTTGAGTTTGAGTCCTGATTCTCGTTCGGCGATGGGGAGCCATGTTGTGAAGGCTTCGAAGGCTTGGTCGCGCGTTTTGAGATTGAAGTGCCAGACATATCTGGTTGCGGCGTCGATGAAAGTGATGACGTAGTTAAAGTCGGCTTCGGCGTCGTCTCGAGGCATGTTTAAAATATCGCTGTAGACCTTTTCCATCGGAGCGTAAGTAGGTGCGCTTGGGTTGTGATGGGATGGAAAAGGTTGATGAGGAAGATCTGCTTCGGGGCATGTGAAGCACCGTGCGCGTGGTCGTCGAAGTTCTTGACCGCTCGTCGTCAGAAGGGCGTTGCGTTCTAACACCTCTGCTTGGATCGTTTGAAGTATTGTGCTATTTGCAGGGTGTCCGAGTCGTTGGTGCCAGATGTCGTCGGGAGCACGGTGACCGGGCGAGCGGTGGTAGATGTCGGTGTTGGAGAAGAACGCGACGACCGAGGCGGGACTTCGACAAGCTTCGCGTGTGGCGGGCATAAGTTGGTCTGCTTCCGTTGGCGGTCCTCGTGTTGATGGTGGTGGTACTCGGCTGGGTCCTGCTGTCGATACTGCAGGTGATGGTTTTGTTGGGACACTTGCGGGTACTTGTCTTTCTTGTCTGATAACTGCTAATGCTCGTGTTCTCTCTGCTGCAGGTATGGTGTTGGAGTGCCAGAAGCCGTCACTGTCGAAGTCGGGATCAAGATCCGGCGGTGAGTCCAGGCGGCGAACGATACGATGCCATCGCTGTCGGCAGTTCCGCGGTCGGGGACGAAGTCCAACACGAAGACACCGGACTTCAGGAGGGCACGACCGATGAAGAGGCCACCCTTCCCGTGGTAAAGCCGGAACTCGTTGGAGTAAGAGTCGCACTCCAGGTGAATTCCTTTGGCCATTAGTTGGCTTACGCTTAGTAGATTGTATCCCAGGTTGTCGACAATGAGCACTTTGTTGAGCTGCAGTATTACGTTTGTTTCCATGGATTGTAACTGAACCACGCCTTGTCTGTTTGTCTTCAGATTTTCGTTGTTGGCGACTGTGATGACGACGTCGCGGTTGAGTCGTTTCTCCTGTTGCACGAAGCGTCCCGAGGAGCACATGTGTTGACCGCAGCAGCTGTCCAAGAACCAGGTGTTTCGCCCGGTGGGTTCGGCGTTGGCGACTGCAGCGTATGTCGGGTTGACCTGAAGTCCTTGCGAGCGCGGCGGCGGGAATTCCTCTTCGTCTGGTGCGTAAGTGGGTGGTGAACCGGGTGCGCAGTTGTCGATGTGTACCATGCAGTTGATGATGTTGGGTGTTTGTTGTGCAGATGTTGAAGAGCGCCTTGGAGGACTTGCTTGAGTGGAAGCGACTTGTGGGTCTGCTGCACGGTAAACGCGAGGGCGGTTGCAGTTGACTTTGGAGTGCCCGGAAGTCTGGCAGTTTTGGCAGAACGGCGGTACGATGGTGAGTCCTCGGTTGTCGCGTTGATCTTGCTTGCTGCGTCGGTTGTAGTTGTTGTCATTTCTTCTTTGAGTGTAGAAGACTAACTGCTGTTGCTTCCTTGGTTGTCTTTCCTCGAACAGATCCATCTCCTGTTGTTCAGCGTGAAGCTCGGCGCAGAGGTGCATCTCCGAAATTCTTCCGTGGGCTCGAAGAAGTGATCTTGTGGTTCTCCATTCTGGCCCGAGCCCGGCGAGGACAAGTGTCACGAAGCTTTCTTCAGTGATTGTTCCTCCGCACCGAAGCAGGCGGTCGCGGAGGGTCTGGCAGCGACTCATATACTGCATCGCCTTTTCCCCGGTCTTCATCTGTATTGTTGTCAGCTGTTGCATGAGTCTGCTTTGTGTCACGCTGTCGTTTGCTTGGTAAAGGCACTTGAGGTGGTGCCATGCGAGCTCCGCGGAGTTTCCATAACTCCGATACGTTCTGATGCTCTGCTGCTCTTGTGGTGACAGGTTTCTCAGGAGTACCGTGTACGCCAGCAGCGACTGATACGTGAAGATCTCTTGTTCCTTCCCAGTGCCGTTGCTTGGGAATGGCAGGGACCCGTTGAAGTATCCCAGAAGATGCGCGGCCTCCATCAGCAGCTCGAACTCGAAGCTCCAGGTAAAGAAGTCGTGTCCGTTGAACGGTGAGGATGTCTGAAGTTTGATCACGTGTGAGAACTGCGCCTGTAAACTTAAGATTTCATTCGGTGTTTGTTGTGATGCAGCTGCTGTTGGCTGGGCACGGGGCGGCATGAATTCGAACGTCCCCGGCGAAGAATGATAAGGCGCAAAGGTAGGCGCTTGGTTGTGTCGCCCGAAGGATGAGTTGTCGAGGCTCATCGGCGCTAATCCCATATTTCCTCCATTGCTCTGTGTTGAATGCGCAGGTGTCCTTGTCTGCTGCTGCTGGTCGAAGTGCGACATGAAGCTGAAGAACCTTTCCATAAGGTTGGGGTCCACGCTTGAAGAGGGAGATGGAGTAACCATCTCTGGTACTCTTCCCGTTGTTTCTTGAGCAGTCCCGGTCTCTGTCTGCAGTCCTGAGGTGTGCAGACCAGAGTTGCCGTGTTGAGTTTCTTGGCCGCTGGGTGAGCCCGTAGAGACTTTCTTCCCCTTGCTGTCCATGTCTTGCAATCAATGAAGTCGTTGAGTTGAGTTGAGTTGCAGGTTGGTGATAGAACGTAGTTGCTGGGAGTTTGGTCTCTGACCAGCTCTCATACCATGTTGGGCTGAGAAAAGCCTTGGGATCTTTCCAGAGACTAAGTCCCAGCTGTAAAGACTTGAGACTTGGAGTAGTGCAGCGGAAGTTGAGGCAGTTGAACCCTTGTACTAGTATGTGAGAACAAGTGATTGATTAAAGAAACAAGCATACAGCAATATATAGAAGATAAGAAAGCAGTTGCAGAGTACAGTTACAGGAACGGTTTATCGAGTCGCATAGCGACTCGATTGCCGCTTCGGTTACCATCCGTGATGCTGTAACGGTCAGTCGCAACCTCCAGTTGCGACCTTTCGGGTCTTTTCGCATTCTTTGTCCGCCCCCTCGTGTAACCTCCGTTGACTCGCGTGCTCCCCTGTAGTCTTCCTCGAGTGTAGTGTTACACTTCAGAAACGCTTAAGTTCTTCGAGATATTTCCAACAAACGAAAGAATACGAAAGGGCGAAGGGGCTCGAAGGATCGCAACTGGAGGTTGCGATTGACCGTTGCGACTGCAAGGATGGTAACTGAACAGACAATCGAGTCGCTGTGCGACTCGATAACTGTTTCTTCAATTGTATTCTACAACTGCTTCATTTCTTATTTTCTATATATTGCTGGATGCTTGTTCCTTCTAATCAATCACTTGCTCTCATATACTAGTGCAAGGGTTCAACTACTCAACACTTCCGCTGCACTACTCAAGCACTTCATACAAGTGGGACTTAGTCTCTGAAAAGATCCTAGGGCTTTTCTCAGCCCAACAACAGCGTTTGCAAACCATCACGTAATTTAGAAATGGGCCATAACATTCTAAAATTTAGAACAAATGAACTTGGGGTTTATATCTGGGCCTCGTTATAAGTGGTTTATCCAGAACGTCCAAAACATAGGCAAAACCAGGTTTGTGGTCATCCCCCATGCTTGGCGCCACCTCACTTCATTTCTCTTGTGTGTCCACTGTCTGTTCCTCATCGTGCTTCATTGCTCCACCGCCCAAGCAATCAGCAATCGGCACGAAGCCCGCTACTCGCGCGATGGACGCGCTGCTCCTTTCGTCGCCCGCCCCGCGTGCGTCGCTCGCCGCACCATCGTCGCGCACGTCGCTGCGCACCACACATGCCGGCCGCGCGCTGCTAGCCGCCCCAGGTACGGCATTGTTGGCGTTAGTGGCTCCGAGATGCGCCGCGCTAGCTGCACGAGCCATGGATGGCGCGGGTCCGGGTAAGCCCGCTGGGCGGCAGCTGCGCGACGCTGGCGCGCCCCACCGCGCGGGGCCGTGCAGCTCGTCGCGGTCGGTGACGCGCCCCGCTCGCGATCGTCCGCCGCACGCGGAACCTATCACAATGCCGCCGATTCGCGAACCTAATGCTACAGCCGCTCGACGCGCGACGCACTTTTAACGCTTATATCGCGTACGAAGTGGAAAGTGCAGCCTGAGACAGGTGGCAGATTGGCTGCGATCAAAGGCGCGGCGGCGATGGCAGTGGCGGCGATGGCAGTGGCGACGATGGCACGTGCGTGTGTTGATGGGGAGAGAGAAAGAGAGGCGACCGCTGTGACGGAGAGGCACTCCAACCGGCATCCGCACACACCACCTCCGTGCTCCCTCCTTTCCCTAATTCCTCCGACCTCGCCTAAGTTCTCTCGGCGCTTGACTCCCTTCCTCCGTCGCACCCTCTCTTGCACCCTCCGTCCTTTAAATCCCCTACTCTTTACCCGTCTCCGTCACTCGCTCTTTCAATCCCCACTCTCCCTCCCCCCCCCCATTCTCCGTTCCCCTCTCGCGTGCGTGCTGCCCCGTTCTCCTCTCCCCACCGCCCACCCCTTCAACCCTCTACCCCCCCCAGGCGCCTGTCGCTGCATGGGGGCGGCGCGCAGCAGCAGGGGGAAGGGCAGTGAGAGTGGTGCGGAAGGGGAGAGGCGGAGATGGAGAAGGGGAGAGCCGCCATGCGCCAGTGGTGAGGGAGTGTGGGGAGTGAGAGAGAGGGAATGGTGATGTGAGAGGGAACGGTGATGTGAGAGGGAACGGTGATGTGAGAGGGAATGGTGATGTGAGAGGAACGGTGATGTGAGAGGGAACGGTGATGTGAGAGGGAACGGTGATGTGAGAGGAACGGTGATGTGAGAGGGAACGGTGATGTGAGAGGAACGGTGATGTGAGAGGGAACGGTGATGTGAGAGGGACGGTGATGTGAGAGGGAACGGTGATGTGAGAGGGAACGGTGATGTGAGAGGGAACGGTGATGTGAGAGGGAACGGTGATGTGAGAGGAACGGTGATGGAGAGGGAACGGTGATGTGAGAGGAACGGTGATGTGAGAGGGAACGGTGATGTGAGAGGGAACGGTGATGTGAGAGGGAACGGTGATGTGAGAGGGAACGGTGATGTGAGAGGGAACGGTGATGTGAGAGGGAACGGTGATGTGAGAGGGAACGGTGATGTGAGAGGGAACGGTGATGTGAGAGGGAACGGTGATGTGAGAGGGAACGGTGATGTGAGAGGGAACGGTGATGTGAGAGGGAACGGGTGATGTGAGGGGAACGGTGATGTGAGAGGACGGTGATGTGAGAGAGGAGAACGGTGATGTGAGAGGGAACGGTGATGTGAGAGGGAACGGTGATGTGAGAGGAACGGTGATGTGAGAGGGAACGGTGATGTGAGAGGGAACGGTGATGTGAGAGGGAACGGTGATGTGAGAGGGAACGGTGATGTGAGAGGGAACGGTGATGTGGAGGGAACGGTGATGTGAGAGGAACGGTGATGTGAGAGGGAACGGTGATGTGAGAGGGAACGGTGATGTGAGAGGGAACGGTGATGTGAGAGGGAACGGTGATGTGAGAGGGAACGGTGATGTGAGAGGGAACGGTGATGTGAGAGGGAACGGTGATGTGAGAGGGAACGGTGATGTGAGAGGGAACGGTGATGTGAGAGGGAACGGTGATGTGAGAGGGAACGGTGATGTGAGAAGGGAACGGTGATGTGAGGGGGGTGATGTGAGAGGGAACGGTGATGTGAGAGGGAACGGTGATGTGAGAGGGAACGGTGATGTGAGAGGGAACGGTGATGTGAGAGGGAACGGTGATGTGAGAGGGAACGGTGATGTGAGAGGGAACGGTGATGTGAGAGGAACGGTGATGTGAGAGGGAACGGTGATGTGAAGGGAACGGTGATGTGAGAGGAACGGTGATGTGAGAGGGAACGGTGATGTGAGAGGAACGGTGATGTGAGAGGGAACGGTGATGTGAACGTGATGTGAGAGGGAACGGTGATGTGAGAGGGAACGGTGATGTGAGAGGAACGGTGATTGAGAGGGAAGTGATGTGAGAGGGAACGGTGATGTGAGAGGGAACGGTGATGTGAGAGGGAACGGTGATTGAGAGGGAACGGTGATGTGAGAGGAACGGTGATGTGAGAGGGAACGGTGATGTGAGAGGAAACGGTGATGTGAGAGGGAACGGTGATGTGAGAGGGAACGGTGATGTGAGAGGGAACGGTGATGTGAGAGGGAACGGTGATGTGAGAGGGAACGGTGATGTGAGAGGGAAACGGTGATGTGAGAGGGAACGGTGATGTGAGAGGGAACGGTGATGTGAGAGGGAACGGTGATGTGAGAGGGAACGGTGATGTGAGAGGGACGATCGGTGATGGTGAGAGGGAACGTGATGTGAGAGGGAACGGTTTGAGCTGATGTGAGAGGGAACGGTGATGTGAGAGGGAACGGTGATGTGAGAGGGAACGGTGATGTGAGAGGAACGGTGATGTGAGAGGGAACGGTGATGTGAGAGGGAACGGTGATGTGAGAGGGAACGGTGATGTGAGAGGGAACGGTGATGTGAGAGGGAACGGTGATGTGAGAGGGAACGGTGATGTGAGAGGGAACGGTGATGTGAGAGGGAACGGTGATGTGAGAGGGAACGGTGATGTGAGAGGGAACGGTGATGTGAGAGGGAACGGTGATGTGAGAGGGAACGGTGATGTGAGAGGGAACGGTGATGTGAGAGGGAACGGTGATGTGAGAGGGAACGGTGATGTGAGAGGGAACGGTGATGTGAGAGGGAACGGTGATGTGAGAGGGAACGGTGATGTGAGAGGGAACGGTGATGTGAGAGGGAACGGTGATGTGAGAGGGAACGGTGATGTGAGAGGGAACGGTGATGTGAGAGGGAACGGTGATGTGAGAGGGAACGGTGATGTGAGAGGGAACGGTGATGTGAGAGGGAACGGTGATGTGAGAGGGAACGGTGATGTGAGAGGGAACGGTGATGTGAGAGGGAACGGTGATGTGAGAGGGAACGGTGATGTGAGAGGGAACGGTGATGTGAGAGGGAACGGTGATGTGAGAGGGAACGGTGATGTGAGAGGGAACGGTGATGTGAGAGGGAACGGTGATGTGAGAGGGAACGGTGATGTGAGAGGGAACGGTGATGTGAGAGGGAACGGTGATGTGAGAGGGAACGGTGATGTGAGAGGGAACGGTGATGTGAGAGGGAACGGTGATGTGAGAGGGAACGGTGATGTGAGAGGGAACGGTGATGTGAGAGGGAACGGTGATGTGAGAGGGAACGGTGATGTGAGAGGGAACGGTGATGTGAGAGGGAACGGTGATGTGAGAGGGAACGGTGATGTGAGAGGGAACGGTGATGTGAGAGGGAACGGTGATGTGAGAGGGAACGGTGATGTGAGAGGGAACGGTGATGTGAGAGGGAACGGTGATGTGAGAGGGAACGGTGATGTGAGAGGGAACGGTGATGTGAGAGGGAACGGTGATGTGAGAGGGAACGGTGATGTGAGAGGGAACGGTGATGTGAGAGGGAACGGTGATGTGAGAGGGAACGGTGATGTGAGAGGGAACGGTGATGTGAGAGGGAACGGTGATGTGAGAGGGAACGGTGATGTGAGAGGGAACGGTGATGTGAGAGGGAACGGTGATGTGAGAGGGAACGGTGATGTGAGAGGGAACGGTGATGTGAGAGGGAACGGTGATGTGAGAGGGAACGGTGATGTGAGAGGGAACGGTGATGTGAGAGGGAACGGTGATGTGAGAGGGAACGGTGATGTGAGAGGGAACGGTGATGTGAGAGGGAACGGTGATGTGAGAGGGAACGGTGATGTGAGAGGGAACGGTGATGTGAGAGGGAACGGTGATGTGAGAGGGAACGGTGATGTGAGAGGGAACGGTGATGTGAGAGGGAACGGTGATGTGAGAGGGAACGGTGATGTGAGAGGGAACGGTGATGTGAGAGGGAACGGTGATGTGAGAGGGAACGGTGATGTGAGAGGGAACGGTGATGTGAGAGGGAACGGTGATGTGAGAGGGAACGGTGATGTGAGAGGGAACGGTGATGTGAGAGGGAACGGTGATGTGAGAGGGAACGGTGATGTGAGAGGGAACGGTGATGTGAGAGGGAACGGTGATGTGAGAGGGAACGGTGATGTGAGAGGGAACGGTGATGTGAGAGGGAACGGTGATGTGAGAGGGAACGGTGATGTGAGAGGGAACGGTGATGTGAGAGGGAACGGTGATGTGAGAGGGAACGGTGATGTGAGAGGGAACGGTGATGTGAGAGGGAACGGTGATGTGAGAGGGAACGGTGATGTGAGAGGGAACGGTGATGTGAGAGGGAACGGTGATGTGAGAGGGAACGGTGATGTGAGAGGGAACGGTGATGTGAGAGGGAACGGTGATGTGAGAGGGAACGGTGATGTGAGAGGGAACGGTGATGTGAGAGGGAACGGTGATGTGAGAGGGAACGGTGATGTGAGAGGGAACGGTGATGTGAGAGGGAACGGTGATGTGAGAGGGAACGGTGATGTGAGAGGGAACGGTGATGTGAGAGGGAACGGTGATGTGAGAGGGAACGGTGATGTGAGAGGGAACGGTGATGTGAGAGGGAACGGTGATGTGAGAGGGAACGGTGATGTGAGAGGGAACGGTGATGTGAGAGGGAACGGTGATGTGAGAGGGAACGGTGATGTGAGAGGGAACGGTGATGTGAGAGGGAACGGTGATGTGAGAGGGAACGGTGATGTGAGAGGGAACGGTGATGTGAGAGGGAACGGTGATGTGAGAGGGAACGGTGATGTGAGAGGGAACGGTGATGTGAGAGGGAACGGTGATGTGAGAGGGAACGGTGATGTGAGAGGGAACGGTGATGTGAGAGGGAACGGTGATGTGAGAGGGAACGGTGATGTGAGAGGGAACGGTGATGTGAGAGGGAACGGTGATGTGAGAGGGAACGGTGATGTGAGAGGGAACGGTGATGTGAGAGGGAACGGTGATGTGAGAGGGAACGGTGATGTGAGAGGGAACGGTGATGTGAGAGGGAACGGTGATGTGAGAGGGAACGGTGATGTGAGAGGGAACGGTGATGTGAGAGGGAACGGTGATGTGAGAGGGAACGGTGATGTGAGAGGGAACGGTGATGTGAGAGGGAACGGTGATGTGAGAGGGAACGGTGATGTGAGAGGGAACGGTGATGTGAGAGGGAACGGTGATGTGAGAGGGAACGGTGATGTGAGAGGGAACGGTGATGTGAGAGGGAACGGTGATGTGAGAGGGAACGGTGATGTGAGAGGGAACGGTGATGTGAGAGGGAACGGTGATGTGAGAGGGAACGGTGATGTGAGAGGGAACGGTGATGTGAGAGGGAACGGTGATGTGAGAGGGAACGGTGATGTGAGAGGGAACGGTGATGTGAGAGGGAACGGTGATGTGAGAGGGAACGGTGATGTGAGAGGGAACGGTGATGTGAGAGGGAACGGTGATGTGAGAGGGAACGGTGATGTGAGAGGGAACGGTGATGTGAGAGGGAACGGTGATGTGAGAGGGAACGGTGATGTGAGAGGGAACGGTGATGTGAGAGGGAACGGTGATGTGAGAGGGAACGGTGATGTGAGAGGGAACGGTGATGTGAGAGGGAACGGTGATGTGAGAGGGAACGGTGATGTGAGAGGGAAC